TTCCTTCCTTCCTTCCTTCCTTCCTTCCTTCCTTCCTTCCTTCCTTCTTTTCTTTTTTCTTTCTTTCCTTTCTTTTTCCTTGTCACACCTTTCTTTTCTTGTTCTTCTTGTTGTTCTTGTTCTTCTGAGACAGGGTCTTGCTCTGCAGTCCAACTCACTGTGTCACCTAGGCTGGCCTCAAACTTGTTATCCTTGTGACTTAGCCCACTAGTTACTAAGATTGAAGGTATGTGCTATAGCACCTGGCTTAGAGAGTGTGTGTGTGCGCATACATGCACAAGTGTGGGTGAGTGTGGGGGTGGTGCTGGGGATCAAACCAAGCTGTTCGAGCACGGAAGGCAAGCGCATTGCTAGTGAGTTCCATCTCCAGCCCCTGTATTGTGTTTAAGGCTTTTCTAAGACTCTCCACTGTCAGTGTGGTTCTGTCCAGGGTCATTCTTGTTAGTCTATTCTCTTCGCTGACCGTGTCCTTGATGCACTTAGCTACATGTATGACACATATGCCACTTTCATTCATAAGACTTAGGTAAGCTCAGAAGATAATGTGTATTAAAAAAAAAAAAAAGTGAACATATGACCATCCTGGAAAAGACAACCTTGCACATGCAGAGTTTTATGGCCAATTACAAAGGCTGTAAATGCTGATATTTAGACTAGCTTTTGTGTTGAGTCTATTAATAATTCTATTAAATCAATTATCTGCCAGTTGCCATAAAACACCTCAAGATCTCCTGGCATCAAACAGCTATGCTCTTTCACGCTCACATGTGCCTGAGGCCCAGCCTCACCTCAAGTGTGGGACCTTACTCTGCCAGGATGAGTCTCTGTGTTAAGACTTTCTTCCAAGGTGTGTGGCCAGATGACCAGGGGAGTGTGACAAGGCCTCTCACAAGCAAGGCTTGAAGGCCATTGGCCACTGTCCCTGCATTTTGTTGGTCAGGATGGTTCTCACTCTGTTTAGAGGCCAGGCATCAGCTTCACTTGTGATGGGAAGAGTCACTAAGACTGTTACCCACTGCTGGCCATACATCAAAGATATGAAACTCCTAAGCCCTCTCTATCATCATCATCATCATCATCATCATCATCATCATCATCATCATCATC